ACCGAATTTGTGGGGGACTGGATAGAGATTGTTAGACATCACACTGGAGGGAGGGAGTATGGAAGAAGTGGATGCTTTCAGATATTTGGGAGGTGACTTGTCAGCAGATGGGTTTATGAAGGATGAGGTTAACCATAGAATTGGTGAAGGAAAAAAGGCAAGTTGTGAGTTCAGGTATCTGTGGAGACAAAAAAACATTATCCATAAAGGCAAAGAAGTGAATGTACGAGAGTATAGTGGTACCAACACTCTTATATGGGTGTGAAGCACGGGTTGTAAATGCTGCAGAGGAGGAGGAGGTGTGGAGTTACTACAAGTGTTAGTCAAAGGGCTGAAGAGGGGTTGTAGAGGTGGTTTGGTCATTTAGAGAGAGTGTCGCAAAGCAGAATGATGTGGAGAGCGTATAAATTTGTAAGGGAAAGGAAGGCGGGGTAGGGGTAGTGCTCGAAAAGGCTGGAGGGAGGAGGGTAAAGGAGGTTTTGTGGGCGAGGGGCTTGAACTTCCAGGAAGCCTAAGTGAGCATTTTAGATAGGAGAGAATGGAGACGAATGGTTTTTGGACCTGATGAGCTGTTGGAGTGTGAGCAGTAATATTTTGTGAAGGGATTCAGGGAAACCGGTTAGCTGGACTTGAGTCCTGGAAATGGGAAGAACAATGCCCGCACTTTAACCCTTTCAGGGTTGGTGCCATACTGATACGTCTTACGCGCCAGGGTTGGTGTCGTACTAGTATGCATAAATTCTAGCGCCTTCAAATCAAGTAGGAAAAGGCTGGTAGGCCTAGATGTGAAAGAATGGGTCTGCATGGTCAGTGTGTGCAGTATAAAAGAAAATCCTGCAACATACAGTGCATAATGAGGAAAAAAAAAACTTGGACCGTGTTACTGGTTTAAAACAGTGGCTTTGCAGTCTATTTTTGTATGGTATTTATGGTTGTATTCTTGTTTTCTTGGTCTCACTTGATAGAATGGAAGACATATTACAGAAATAGAGATAATTTTGTTTGGTTTCACAATGACAAGTACCTTGAAATTGAGTGCAAAGTAGCGAAAATGTTCGATTTTTGCCGATGTTCAAGAGTAAACAAATCAAGCCATGCATCCAATTCACATCAACTGGTGAGTATAATATTCTTGCACAAGTGCGCTAATATTATTTATACCATTTTTACAATGATGCAGTAGTCTGCATAACAGTAAATCTTCTATTTTCTTTGAGAATAATAATTCAAAATGGAAAGCAAAAGTAATGTAATAGGGGCCTGGAGACACGACTAATGAACAGATAAAATGTCATTTTAGTGCCAGGAATGTCTGTCTTGTTTATTCTGGACCCTATTTTGAAATTGGCACCTTTTGGAATTTGTGTGAAACTGGCCAAACTGCCAATTTCTGACCACTTTATTGGGTAGTTGAAATTGGTAAATGGGCAGTTTCTTGTACTCAGTTGATAGAACAAATGGAATTATAACAAAATAACTATGATTTTAGCAGACTGAAACATTGGAATTGGCTTAAAATAGGGATCAAACTGGGTGAAATCACTGATGCATAAATATCGTCGATACCGCTAACTTTGCAAGAGTATAATTCCGTAAGTTTTCCATCAAATTTCATACTTTTAGTGTTATTATGATCGGAAGAAGATTCTCTATCATTTCACAAGAAAAAATAATTTTTTTATTTTTCAAATATTTTTTGACCCTGAGTTGGAGTTAACCCTTTCAGGGTTTCGGCCGTACTAGTACGGCTTACGCACCAGGGTTTTTGACGTACTACCTGGAGGTTACCTGGAGGTTATTCTGGGGATCAACGCCCCCGTGGCCTGGTCCATGACCAGGCCTCCTGATGGATCAGGGCCTGATCAACTAGGCTGTTACTGCTGGCCGCACGCAGTCCAACGTACGAGCCACAGCCCGGCTGATCCGGCACTGACTTTAGGTATCTGTCCAGCTCTCTCTTGAAGGCAGCTAGGGGTTTATTGGCAATTCCCCTAATGCTTGATGGGAGGCTGTTGAACAGTCTTGGGCCCCGGACACTTATGGTGTTTTCCCTTAGTGTACCAATGGCGCCCCTACTTTTTATTGGGGGCATTTTGCATCGCCTGCCCAGTCTTTAACTTTCGTAGGGAGTGATTTCTGTGTGCAGATTTGGGACCATTCCTTCCAGGATTTTCCAAGAGTAGATTATGATACTCTCACTCCTGCGTTCCAACGAGTACAAGTCAAGTGCTTCCAAGCGTTCCCAGTAGTTAAGATGCTTGACAGAACTTATAAGTGCAGTAAAAGATCTCTGTACACTCTCTAGATCTGCGATTTCACCTGCTTTGAATGGAGATGTTAATGTACAGCAGTATTCCAGCCTAGAGAGAACAAGTGATTTGAAAAGGATCATCACTGGCTTGGCATCTCTCGTTTTGAATGCTCTCATTATCCATCCTATCATTTTCTTTGCACGTGCGATCGTGGCACTGTTGTGATCCTTGAAAGTGAGATCCTCAGACATTACTTCTCCAAGGTCCCTTACATTATTTTTCTGCTCTATTGTATTGCCAGTCTGTAGTATACTCTGTTCTAGTTATTATCTCCTCCAGATTTCCATAATGGAGTAGTTGGAATTTGTCCTCATTGAACATCATATTGTTTACCGTTGCCCAGTGGAAAACTCTGTTTATATCTTCTTGGAGGTTAACCGCGTCCTCAGCAGATGACAGCCTCATGCAGATCCTAGTATCATCCGCAAAGGATGATACGGTGCTGTGATGTATATCTCTGTCTATGTCTGATATGAGGATGAGGAATAAGATGGGGGCGAGTACTGTGCCTTGTGGAACAGAGCTCTTCACTATGGCAGCCTCCGATTTAACTCTGCTGACAACTACTCTTTGTGTTCGATTTGTTAGGAAGTTGACGATCCATCTCCCCACTTTCCCAGTTATTCCTTTAGCACGTATTTTATGGGCTATTATGCCTTGATCGCATTTGTCAAATGCTTTTGCAAAGTCTGTGTATATTACATCTGCATTCTGATTTTCTTCCAGTGCATCCAAGGCCATATCATAGTGATCCAGTAGTTGTGAGAGGCAGGAGTGACCTGTCCTGAACCCATGTTGCCCTGGATTGTGCAGATTTTGGGAATCCAAGCGCCCTCAAATCTAGTGAGAGAAAGCTGGTAGGCCTACATATGAAGGAATGGGTCTATGTAGTCAGTGTGCACGGTATAAAAAAAATCCTGCAGCACACAGTGCATAATGAGAAAAAAAAAACTTTGACTGTGTTTTTGGATTAAAACAGCGACTTTGCACTGAACAGAGGAAATGTTATTTTAGTGCCAGGAATGTCTTTCTTGTTTATTCTGGACCCTATTCGGAAATTGGCATGTTTTGAAATTTGTGTGAAATTGGCAAAATTGCTAAATTTTGATCACTGTATTGGATAGTTGAAATCGGTAAATGGGTGGTTTCTTGTAGTCATTCGATAGAAAAAATGGAGTTCTAGAGAAATAGTTATGATTTTTGTCGACAAGTGCACTGGAATTGGCCGAAAACAGGGCTCAAAGTGGGCAAAATCGCCGATGCATAAACATCGTTGAGACCGCTAACTTCGCGAGAGCATAATTCACTAAGTTTTCCATCAAATTTCATACTTTTGGTGTCATTATGATCGAGAAAAGATTCTCTATCTTTTCATAAGAAAAAATAATTTTTTTTTGTTTTGAAATTTGGCCGACCCTGAGAACAAGTCTCTGAGAGGGCCTGTTGACCCTGAAAGGGTTAAGGATCAAGGGTCTCGACCCTGAAAGGGTTAAAGGAGAGGTTTGGGATATTGGCAGTTTGGAGGGACATCTAAGCTGTCATACCTAAGTGCCTCTGCAGAGACGGTGGTTATGTATGAGTAATGGTGAAAGTGTTGAATGATGAAAGTTTTTTCTTTCTTTTTTGGGTCACCCTGCCTTGGTGGGAAATGGCTGAAGTGTTAAAAAAAATCTGATATGAACAAAATAGAATATGAGAGCCCCCCCTCCCCAGGCATTAGTTCTTGTGGAACTAAAGGTAAAGAGAAGAATTGCAAGTGGAGGGTACAAGAATCCAGACTTTAGGTGAAACTTTGAGGAATGAGAGAATTCCTGAATGCAGTGAAGTGGGATACCCACTGATACCAATACTCTAGTACACCCCTATAAAAAATCATTAAAAAAATGATCTTAAAGCAGAACAATGTCTCCCACAATTTAGTACATGGCTCCGGTTTCAACTATCAAATGAGTTGTTTGTAACCCTGAACCTAATATCCTATAGAAAATAATACTACAAAAGATGGTTGTGTGTTGTACATATTCATAACTACAGTTCAATAAATATAAAAATTATTTTATCAATAACACTTGTTTTGTAAATCATTCATAAGTGAAAATCACTAATAACTCAGGTGTTTGTAAGCCAGGGATGATAAATAGACACATGTGCAACACTCGAGTATATTTCATGAGGAAACGTTTCACTACAAATTGGCTTCATCAGTCCATACAAAATAAGAATGGTTAAGAACAGGAGGAGTTTGAGGTAATCAGTCCCTCAGCCTTGAGTCCAGGTAAACTCCAGGTAAGCTCCTTCAATCTTGAAAAGGAGTAATCACATCGACTCAAGGCTGAGGGACTGATTACCTCAAACTCCTCCTTTTCTTCATCATTCTTCTTTGAATGGACTGATGAAGCCACTGTGTGGCGAAAGGTGTTTTCCTCATTAAAGACACCCAAGTGATGCACATGTGTCTATTTATCAACTTGTCGGTTCCCTGAACTATTTGTCTATAAGCAGGGATCCTTTGTATGGTGCCATGTGCAGTTTCTTCATATCATTTAAACATTGGCAAATGACTTTTTACTTCCATAGTCCAGCAGCATGTTCTAATTATAATTAAAGAAGCATCTGTTGGAAGAATTTACTTTCATCCATCATTCTTATTTGTCAATCTACTAATAATACATCACTTGAGCTACGTACCTTATGGAGCATTATTGCAAAGAAGACAATCACCTCAACATCTGTGTGTGAAGAGGCTGCAGCTGCTCCCAGGGCAATACCATCAGCTATGGAATAAAGAACCAACATTATCCTGTGGGTCATCCTGCAAGTAAGAATTACTGTGAGGCAGAGTAAACAAGAAGAGGTATATCATACAGAACTACAGTACACAAAGGCAGAATGTGATACAAGGAAGACTTTTTATATGCAGTCTTCCTGAATGTGAATGGGCAGCAAATTGAATAAAGATAAAGAAAGGATATTTCTACTGTTTAAACAAAAAAGTATTAAGAACCAACAGAGTTTACATCTGTGATAGTGATATTGGATTAGTCAGGAAAACAACTCATTGGTATGAGTAAAAAAACAAAGAACTTTACAGATAATGTTATTATACATAAACCATCTCCCATCAAGGCAAGGGTGACTAAAAAAAAAAAAAACTTGCACATGGACATAAGAAATCAAGCGATCTACACTGCAGCATCCCCACCCACCCATCAAAAAGTACAGGCAGTATACTTAACACCTCCTGGATTCAATATGGCTAACCAGTTCCTCTGAAACCATTAAGGCTATCTTGCTCACACTTCGAAAGTCTATCTCATCTCCACTAACTCCAATTTAACATGTTCATAAATGCCTGCTAGATGCTCAAGACCCTACCATTCAAAACTTTCTTCCATGCCCTCCCTCCAACCTTCCCTGGGGTAACCCCTACCCCTTCTTCCATCCTTCTTTCTTTAACCAATCCTTTTTCAGTCGAATCGAATTGAATCGAGGACGACGAGATCTGTCATAAGATGGGAAGGAAGAAGGATATGGAAGGATGGAAATAAATGGAAAAGGATGGGGAGGAGGGGAAGAGGAGGAATCAAGGCAAGTGGCCCAACCACTTTGGGACATGTGGTACAAAAGTACTGGAGACGTCGATAGAAAGGCTTGACTGATGTCATTGCTTGGCTCACTAGGAGAGGATGGCGAAGGCAGCGGTAGGAGCTGGGAGTGTCAGAAAGCAGCAAGCAGGATGAGTTGATTATGGTCTTAAACCGTTTATCAGTGCGGTAAATTGTTTTCGGGAGAGTTGTATCACACTTATGGGAGAGCTGTAGTAGTATTCGTTGGTTTGGAGTTGGTGGAGTATCTGGTCATAGGTAGGGAATGGTCTTTCTTTGCTTTGGTACGATACAGTGTTGTCTTGGAGATGTTGGATGAGTTCTAGGCGAGTCATGCTTGCAGGGTACAGCCTCGTGGTGTAGAATATGAGTCCTTTGTGTTTAACCCATAGTGTTCCAGGTAATCGACGTGAGCTAAGTAGAGAAGGCGGTGGTGGAGTAGAGGAAGGTGGTGTTGCTTCGTTTTCAACTTCAGTAGACGAATTAGAAGATGTTTCTGGTGTAAGGCTTCTGATTGGTTGGATTCAGTGAGAGGTGGTGGCGGTGGAGGCTTCTCATTGGTCGTTGTTGATTGACGTCACTAGTTGGTGGTGTTGATGGAACTTCTGGAGAAGAGTTGGCGATTAAGTTTTTGGTGAATGTGAGAATTTCTTCAGAAGGTGGAGATGCTGGAAATGTAAATGAAGGCATGTTATTTAATGCAAATAACTCGTTGATGGTAGAGTTAAATGATCCAGGTACAGCCATGTTTTGCATATGAGCGTATAGTAGACAGTAGTGAATCTTCGTTACGTCACATGTTGGAGGAGTGATGGTAGTGGTGGTGGTGGAGGCGGGCTGAGTAGATGCTTGAAGTAATTTTGTAGTGTCTGCTTGTATTTTTGCAATTGCTGCATACGTTGGAGTGTTGCTAGTAGGTTTTTTCTTTGTTGCATCTTGTGTTTTCTTCATAATATCCTTTCTTGTAGGACATTTTGCTGCCAGTGTATGGTGATCATTACTCTTGCAGTTTAAGCACGCTGGTTGTGTTGGAGCAGCAGCGGTGCAGGAACTGAAGGAGTGTCCCTCACTACCACATGTAGTGCAGAACTTCTTGTCTTTTACTGGACATGCTTTGGTGGTGTGATGGTATGAATAACAGTTCCAGCAATGTTGGATGTAGTGATATCTCTCTGCTTCAATATAGGTAGGGCTGATGTAGTAGTAGTAGTAGACAGCAAGACCTTCGTTCAGTGCAGTGGCAGCCATGTTCACGTTGGTGAAGGTGACCTTGATCATGGACGTAGCATTTGGGATTTTTGTAATGCTGTCAACAGTAGCCCAAGTATTTTGCTTCTCGATGGATGACTTGAGTTCAGTAGGTGTTTGAGATGTCAGAATCTTGTCCAGTTTTTTTAGGAATACTGATTTCCTTGCCCTGAGGGCAGGAGATGACATAACAGTAAACCCTTGAGTAGTAAGAGTAGTGATGGCTTCTGTAGTGAGTAGCTTCTCTGCTTCAGCATCATCGTTACACACAACAATGAATGCTTCTTTCAGTGACGATATGGTGCTGAATTTTACTTCAAGTGCTCCCTGAACAACAGTTGCAAGAGCAATCTTCGTTGAATCATCAACGGTACCATTTCTTGGTTTGATCTTTACACGATTTGCGTAGCTCATCGTGTAAGTCAAGGCGATGACAACGCTGGTAAAGGTTCCCCTCCCCAACGGGGATCGTAGGGAGACAGAGTAAGTAAGGCGAGCTGCTATGACCTGCCTGGGCGAGAGTCAAGAGCAGAATCTTCATTTGTCATCTTTTTCAGTCCTCTTCCTCCTAAGCTCAGGATATTATAAAACAAACAAAACCTAACATGACTATGTTATCCTTTTAAAAAAATTACTTATTTTTAAAACATCAGCCATTTCCCACTGAGGCAGGGGTAACCTGAAAAAGAAACACTTCCATCATCATTCACTCCATCACTGTCTTGCCAGAGGCATGTGGATAGAAAAGTTCAAACACTGCGACATATCTCCACCCCTCCTTTCAGAGTGCAGGCACTGTATTTCCCACCTCCAGGACCCAAGTCCGGCTAACCGGTTTCCCTGAAGCCCCTGATAAATGTTATTTTGTTCACACTCTAACAGAACGTTAAGTCTTAAAAACTACTGGTCTCCACTCACTATCTAACATGCAAACACATGCTCACTGAAGTCCAAGCCCCTAACACACGAAACCTTTACCCCCCCTCTCGCCAACCTTTCCTAGCAACCCCTACTTGCTTTCCTTCCACTATAGATTTATGCGCCCTCCAAGTCATTCTATTTTGCTCCATCCTCTTTAAATGTCTGAACCACCTCAACAAATTCTCGAAGCCCTCTGGATAATACTTTTAGTAACTCCACACGTCCTTCTAATCTCCCAGCTATGGGTTCTCTGCATAATATTCACACCACACATTGCCCTCATGACATCTCCACTGCTTCCAGCCTTCTCCTAGTTGCAACATTCACCACCCATGCTTCACACCCATATAAGAGGATTGGTACCACTATACTCTCATATATCTCCCTGTTGCTTCCATGGATAACATTCTTTGTCTCCACAGACTCCTCAGTGCACCACTACCTTTTTCCCCTCATCAATTCTGTGTTTCAACTCATCTTCCATGGATCCATCTGTTGAGAAGTCCACTCCCAAATACCTGAACACATTCACTTCCTACATACTCCCTCACTCTAATCTAGTATGTAATCTTTCATTTCCTTCTTTTAAATACCCTCCCAAATTAATCCACCAACCTCTGCAACTTCTCTTCAGAATCTCTCAAAAGCACAAAACAAACTGTGACAACTCCCACTTTGTGTTAAATTCTTTATCTTTTAATCCCACACTAATTCCCAATACCCCAGCATTCACTTCTCTTACAACCTCATCTATGAATGTATTGAACAACCATGGCAACATCATGCATCCCTCTCTAAGGTCTACTTTTCTTCTCTCAACAAATCAGCTGTATCCCACCGAGGCAGGGTGGGAAAAAAAAAAAAAAAAAAAATAGTACAGTGGACCCCCGCCGTTCGGCGGCCGCGACATTCGTGAAATCCAACTTTCGGCAAGTTTTTTCAGCAAAATTTAGCTTCGTGGTTCGTGATTGGACTCGTGATTCGGCGACCTTCTGGTACGCATCTGCCCGTCAGCGCGCACACAAAGCCAGTCTCCTGCACTATTCACACTCAGTGTGCCATTGTTTACCATTATGTAACCATCACCCCACGAGTTCATACAACACATTTCATAATAATTCATTGTCTTTTGTGCTTGCAACTGCTAAATAAGCCACCATGGGCCCAAAGAAAGCTCCTAGTGCCAGCCCTTTGGTAAAGAAGGTGAGAAACATGATAAAATTAAAAAAAAAACTCATAGCAAAGTACTAAAGTAGAGGAGGAAGAGAGAGGGGAGAATGTGCCTTCTGCAGTGATTCTACAATATGTATGATACTAAAGCAGCAGGTATCGATAAAGGCTATAGCTCCAGGCAGCGATAAAGTGTAGAATTAACAGTGTAGCAAGTAAGTTAAGTGAGTAAGCGACAGAAAAACAATATGAGAGTAACTCTTCAATGTTGTTGGATGTGTATAGGACCGCTGAACATACACCGCCCTGCTATCTTCCACCACCCTGAACCTCTGCCAACATCTCCATCAAACTAACTAATTAAACTAACATCTCCTCCAAGGTAAGTGTAAATATAAAAGTGTAAGTATAAAGGTAAATATAAGAGTAAATATAAAAGGACACCAATGAAAATGTGTCCCTCTTGAATTTTTTGGGTTATCCTGGGTACTTTACACATATGCTGCTATGTATGATAATCTATATATGTAACTGTAGTTGTGTATACCTGAATAAACTTACTTATTTATAAATTAAAATGTAAATATTTCTTATTTATAAATTAAAATGTAAATATTTCTTATTTATAAATTAAAATGTAAATATTTCTTATTTATAAATTACATACATTGTTTAAGTGTGATGGTGGTCAAAGCCTCCACCAACACGGCTTCTCTCAGTGGTGGCCCTTAAACCCAACAACAACATTTACACCATTTACTCCTCTCATACATTATGACATATTTTATTCATTCTAGAGTATATATCATGTTGCTATGTTATTAATATTG